GTCCTAATCACCAAACGAAATGGATGCCACGCTATTCTCGGACAGGCTGTAATCTTAAAAGTGTCTATCCTTTCCAAGAGCTATCCATCTCGTTGGAAGGGCTAAAAATCTACTTCTTTCTGAGCTTTCATTCCAGGGTCAAATATAATCACTTGAACCATAATAATATTCAACATATTCCATCATATTCCGAGGACCGCACACAGGATTTTTTCTGGATTACTTTTCGAACTTTTTTCCCCAACTTGTTGACCAGTTTTCCTTGAGAAAACCCAAACTTTCGCCCAATTGTCCATGAGAAAACTACATATTCTATCTTACTGCATTGCCGGGAAGTGGTAAGCTGGACGTCTGTGAAAAGTGTTGATCGATATATTTTCAAGGAAGCAATTGTTGTTTTTGTTTGTGAACTAGAGGACTCTAGCCGATGAGGCTACTTTCCCCCCGAGAACCTCAGGCAACCAATTTTTTTTTATGTACTACTATCGTAATAAAACATTACTATGTTAACCACTTCCTGGTGGCTGAAGACTTACACGAATGCGTATACGGAAAAAAATGTCCCCGAGAAAATGTTTTTTCAGACAATCGATATTCGAGATGTCTTCTGTTGCACAACTTATGCTGCACTGTGTAAGAACTTGCATCCTTTAATCTGCATTTTCGTATATCATCCCGTAATTTGGGATTAATGACAATGGGTTGAGGAACGGAAGATCTATGTTCGTCACGTGACTGGACAATTCCACCCCCCCCCCCGTCCCACCCTGACGATGATCCCTCCCGAAGCGGCGCGGCGCGCTCTCTAAAAAAATCGCGGGCACAGTTTATCTTCTAAGTTTTCCGGTAGCTATTTAGTAACCCGGAGTTTGGTCCTTGTGTGTGGTTTTGGACCAGGTGAGCGCTGATGAAATAAGTTCATTAACATACAAGCGAGCGATCGCCCACGGTCAAAGAAAAATTTCTTTTCAGATTTTTTTTAACAATTCCTTCTCCCAAATTTCTCTCCCCAAAAAATTCAAATTTTTTTTCCAGTTTTTTTCTCTGTAAAATTATTTTCTACGGAATGTTTTTTGTAAAACCAATTTTTCGGAAAAATTCGAATTTTTTTTTGTGACAGAAATTTTTTTTCGGCAAAAAAAATTTGGTTAATCTGTTTATTATATAATGACCAGATGTAATCTCCGCTCATAATTGAATCTGAAATTTAATACCTCGTCATAGCAGATTGGTCAACGACTATCTGTCAACCCACCCCAGACTAATACAGGCCAATCAGGTCACGGTGCATGAGTGTGGTATCCAAATTCAAGGATGGACATCGATCCGCCCAGTAATATACTAATCAAAAAAAGTAGGGGATATTTGATTTTTAAGTGTTATTAAAGTCACCTAATGAAACTGACGAAGAAACAAATGACAAAATGAAATGAAGTTCACATTCATCGATTTATTCCAAATGATCGTTAGACTAAGTAAGGCACAGACTGGCCATTATAAGGGTAAAATGATACCCGGGGTCAAACAGCAAAGTTACCACAGCATCACAACCAAGTCAGTAACGGGTAAATCCTCCTCTGTTTGCCAAACAAGCATTGATCCGACGTGGCAAACTCCTAATGAGACGTCTAAGGTCATTTTGGTCCAGATTGTCCCATTCCTGTTGCAACGCAGCAGCAAGTTCTTGGACATTGGCAGGACGTTGTTGACGTTGACGTAACCTCTGTCCAAGCATGTCCCAGACATGCTCGATGGGGGAGAGGTCGGGACTTAGTGCTGGCCAAGGTAATGTGGTGATGTTCTGTTGTTGGAGGTAACCTGTAACGATCCTGGCCCTGTGACATCTTGCGTTGTCATCCTGGAAGATGAAACGGCGGCCATGACGTCGTGCGAACGGCACAACATGGACTGCCAAGATGTTGTCCCGGTAGTACTGGCCTCTAACACGCCCTGCAACAACATGTAAAGCCGTTCTTCCAGCAACAGTGATGCCTCCCCACACCATAACAGAACCACCCCCAAATCGATCATGTCTGATGACGTTAACGTCTTGGAAGCGCTCGTTTCGACGACGCCACACCCTCCTACGTCTGTCCAAAAAATCAACAGTGAACCTTGACTCATCTGAAAACATCACATTGCTCCAGCGTCGATTATCCCAGTGTTGACGATCCCTACACCAACGACGTCTTGCCTGAATGTGATGATCTCTCAAACAAGGGATCACGCGAGGACGTCGGGCGCGAAGGTGACCCCTATGCAGTCGATTCCGAATCGTCTGGCCACTCACTCTCACACCAGTGTCTGTTTGAAGACGAGCGCTGATCTGATTTGCTATGATGACACGATTTCTCAAGGCCAAGGTACGGATAAATCGATCCTGGGCTTGAGTTGTCGCCCTTGGTCGACCTGAGCGTGGTCTGTCCTGTACAGATTGTGTATCACGGTATCTGGACCATAGCCTGCTTATGACAGACTGAGAAACATTCATCGTCCGCGCCACAACCGCCTGTGTTGTGCCGATCTGTAGCATGCCAAGGGCACGTAACCTTTCATTTTGGGTAAGCCGACGCATATCAAAATTTGTTTTCTGGTCACTAAAACAATTAAACTGATGTTTCCACCCTGGAATTCAATGCCAGAGTCGTGCAAATCTTGGGTTGGACCCCCATGATGATCCCAAGCATCACCTGCATTCCATGCGGTAGCTATTGGTGCGTTTGGGCGTCACATGTAACTGGAAATGTTTCTTCTGTTAGGTTCTATAGTGACTTTTTTCGTAGTCATTTGCATATTTTAGTATTATGCCCCCAAAATCAAATATCCCCTACTTTTTTTGAATATTATATATAAATTCAGACTAAATGTTTTAGTCTGAATTTATATACTAAAACATTCAGACTAAATGTTTTATCAAGTTGTCTGCGATATCACCTCGGTGGAAGCGGACGTAAAATACAACTAACTAACAACAAAAGTTTTATCAACAATCCAGCCCAGAGAGTCAAGCTGGGAAAAAGACTGATACCAGATGAGAAACCTGTAGATTAGGTATTGTAGAACGAGTATTGTAAATATGTTTATAGTAGAATAAAAAGTATTGTATGAATCTGAAACTAGTCTTGTCATCTGAACCTGATAGAAAGCAATACTGTAACATCGTTCGGATGGCCCTGTGTATACATGTTCATGTTTGTTAAAGATCCCTGGCAAAATTAGTAAAATTTAAGTGATTTCTAAGGTTTATGGGGATAGCACAGTTTAGTTTCCACAACTAGTTAAAAAATAAGAATTAGATAATAATCTAGTAGTGGTTTGTGGAAAGAAATCATTTGGTTCAATATTGACCTTAAAAGTGGTTTCACGTTAGCTTTTCGTTCAGTACTTATATTTGGTCATTTAAATAAGTGTTTATGATGCCCCTCTTCAACTGTTTTGATTTGTGGCGAGGTGGGGTAGGTGATTGCAGGTGTGCGTGTGGGGAGGGGTGTAAAATTGGAGGGAAATGAGTTCACGTTGATTTAAATGAAGATTTTCTTAGAGCTTGATAAAATCATTACTTTTTTTTAATTCCGCTGCACATCTCTAAATATGAGTATAAATTCCCATTTAATGGGGGTGTCGGTGTGGGCAAAATGTGAACAGGCGTTTGATGGGGGGGGGGGGGGGGCGTTTTGGAGATAAGGGGGTACAATGTCTACAATTGAGGGGAAATGTCATGATCATGTTATATATTAATAAAACATAAATTTCTAGGACTGTCCATTTCTAAATAAGTGTATATAATGCCCCTGGACAACTGTTTTGATTTGTGGGGGTGGGGGTTGCCGGTGGGCGTATGTGGAAGGGCAGGGGGATCAAATTTGCGGGAAATGTGTATCAGATTCCCATTGCATGGGGGGGGGATGTATTTTTTTGGGACAGAAACCACATGGTTCAAAATTGACCTGAAAAGTGACTTTTCGTTAGCTTTTTTTTTCGTTCAGTACAAATTTCGTCATTCAAAATATTAAATTATAATGCAATCTGATTAAAACACAGATCCTATTTTGTTCCGTTTTTTATAGTTCAAAATTTCGTCTTCATAACACTAGGATCTGGAAGAGTTGTTATATAAGCCGCGTCCTGGTTAATGTTAATGTTAATGAAACGGACTGTTACGGCGAGTTCTTGTCAACGCTGGTTGATTAATCAATGTCTGACGTCATAGTGTCAAAAACCGATCGTATGACCTCTGACGCCAACCCCATTATACAACCGGTCAGATCTTTATGTAATGTATGCCACCGAAAGTGTAAAAAAACGAAACGAAATATAGATCTGTATTTTAATCAGATTGATTATGGGCGCTCTAGATGCGAAAGTTAATATCCAATTGACTTTGTGTTTATACACAGTGTGTAAGGTCATACGACGAAGAATCCTATTGATTTTAACGATTTCCGATAATTACTGACATGGTTATGTCCCTTGATCACTTTGAAGTATCTTGTGGACGCTCTAGATGCTAAAGGTAATATCCGATTGACTTGAAATTTATACAGTATTTAAGGTCACGATTTTCAACGATTTCCGATAATTATGGCCCTTAATCACTCTAAAAAATCTCGTGGACGCTTTAGTCTCTAAAATTAATATCCAGTTGACTTTATATTTAATACAGTGTTTAAGGTCATGAGACGAAGAATCCTATCAATTATCAAAGATTTCCAATGATTATGGTAATTGATATTAAATGATTTGTATGTTAAATGTTAGAATAGGGCAGAATTAGACGCCAAAAGGATTGTTACTCGTAGTGTGTTGTAAATGTTTTCATTTCTGACAAAAGAAAAAAAATATGCGATAACCCTTGTTGACTCCCGGACGATTTAGCTGCCGTGGGCGTATGTTTCGTTGCCTGGCTATCTATCTTTAATTATGTTGTGTTTTGGGGTTGGAGGGTGGGGGATGTTTTGTTTTTTACTCATCCAAGTGTTATCTCTTCTAGATTGAGCATAATGTCTGGTCAAAAAATTTCCGTTCCTTCTGAAAACAGCAAGGGGGGAATCCCAGCTGTACAGTTCAACAATCCTAAAAGCCAACCAATAGGTGTGATCGTATTACAGGAATGGTGGGGACTAACCCAAGAAATACAGAATAAAGCGCAGGACCTGGCAAAGCGAGGCAACTTTACTACGATTGTTCCAGACCTATACCGTAAGGTTGTTACTACCGACTATGAATATGCCGGACATTTGATGTCTAATCTAGATTGGCAAGGAGCTGTTCAAGACATCCGAGGGTGTGCCAAGCATCTAAAAGAACAGGGTTGTGCTAAAGTGGGTGTCATAGGCTTTTGTATGGGCGCAGCTCTGTCTCTCGCATCAGCGGCCCTAGTAACGGAGGTCAGCGCTTCTGTGCCATTTTATGGCATTCCAAGTAAAGACCTTGCGGATCCATCCAACATTAAAATTTCCGTCCAGTGCCATTTTGGTGAACAAGATGTTTTGGAAGGATTTTCTGCCCCGGCCGATCAAGACAAGTTAAAAAAGTCTCTAAAAGTAGGCGGAGTACAGTTCGAATTTTTTTCCTACCCTGCGGGTCACGCCTTTGCAGATTCCAATGGACATAGGTATAATAAGGAAGCTACTGAGTTAGCTTTTGGCATAAATATATGGATTTAATTATATTTTAGCAAGTATACGTTTTATTTCCTTTTATGGAACGACTTTTCCCGGACTTACTAATCTAAAAGATTATACACTGACGAAGGAAGGAAGATCTTTAGCTACGAAAGTTTTGTTTGTTGTACTTCTGCACCCAAAGAGAAAATAGATTTGTTATAGACTGCGCATGTGATTCAAATATTATCCTAGTCCTGCATTTCACGAATCTATTAAAATTATCACATCTTTAATGTTTCTGTCAAATATTCATTCCGGACATTATAATATGCTAAAAAGTAACTGACCCAGTTTCATGCCTTTGTGGAATTTAACACTTCGAGTTTTTCTTTGTAATATCTGCCTGTGTGGAGATATGAATTGGGTTATGGTCTAATTGTTGCATACGTGGGATATGAAAGTTTTCATAATGGCTGCCTGTGTGGAACTATTGAATGAGAGGAAGATCATGTCGGAAAAAGAAGTAAACACATGTTATTCGGTTAACGTTAAAGTTCTTTTGAACCCCTTCAGACCATATTTAATGTAATTCAATATAAGACAATGAGGTTACGTTATGACATAGGGGCGTTTGGATAACCGAATGGTTGGCGCGTGCGCGTTATATCACAGGGTGTGGTTTCGATTCCCCGGTTGTGCGTGGCAGGGAGTGGGGTCGCTTATCCAACCTCGTGGTTTTCTCCGCGGGTCCTCCGCCCACCCCACCCCCACCCCTGCTAAAGACCCCTACGCTCAAGCAAATAATTGAAATAAAATCGAACCATATGTTAGTCCCGAAAGGAAATGTTGGAAAGGGAGTTAGAAGAATTGTGTAGTTATTTGACAATTTTGTTGGATGACGTATCTCCGTATAACCGTAGGGAGTTTTTAGTATTAAAGAATTGCGGCGGTAAAAGTGCATGTGTTGGGTTGTGAGTTCAGAGGATGTCAGGGTATTCTGTCTTGTACATGTAAATGTCCAGTTAGACGGGCTTCGTTGGATAATTTAATCGGACGGATTCGAGCGATTTTCAGAGACAGAGACAGGGGATCATATTGGAATGAAAAGCTAGGTTTAGGAAATCCGATGGCGTCTGCGGTCATTAAGCGCCATCTTGAGGTAACTAAACTTAAGCAATCCATGGCTATGGTCATTCCACGCCAAGCTAAACCTTTTTGTTTTGAAAAAAATTTTGTGCTTTTGTCGCGTTATTTAGCTTACAAACTTTCGAACAAAAAATTGTCTAAGCATGAAACGTATCTTTTTAGACGAGATAAGGCATTTTTTTAAGTTTCGGTGCTTGGGAGGACGAGACACACAATGGGTCGGGGGGGGGGGGCGACGTCATTACGGATACTGGGTGTGCCGGAAAGTCAAATTCTTTCGCATGTCGGTTGGAATTCAAATAACATGTTAGATAGATATTCTAAAATGATGAAGTTGGTTGACAATAAATTTTATTAAATCCTGTTCCCCTTTAAATATGATAGGCGGCAGAACAATGTTTCCTGGAACAAGCCAACCGTTTAATTATCGCAACCGTTTATCACAAAACATGAAGATCAGGTGTTACAATTGTAAGGAATATGGTCACATTACTCGAAACTGTACAAAAAATACAGTGATTAACTCAAGCTTAAAGAGTAAATCTCATTGAAAGTACATTTTTTAGCCCAATTTAGGTGATGGTGTTTATATGTTGTAATTCTGTTTCAGACACAGTTTGACAGTTTGAAATCAGAGATACAGTTATCAGAATGAATTTCATACAAAGGTGAACCAAATTCTGGTCTAATCACCAATCCGTATTTGTGTTTCATACCATTTCGAAATCCAAAGCTGGCCAAATTCATAAATATGCGGCAATACTATATACCGGAAAATACAGGAAAGCACCGGAAAACAACCAGAAAACATGGGAAAACAACCGGAAAACACCATTTTATACTGAATACCGGAAAACACCGGAAAAACACTAAATACCGGAAAACACAATAAATACCGGAAAATACCCTAAATAGGTAACCCGTAGACTGACACCCTAAATAGGTAACCGGGAACCTGGTCCTTTGTGTGCCTGGTTTAGGGTTAGGTTTAAGAATTTGGGGGAGAGGTCAAGTCTCCACATAAGCATTGACCTAGGATGATGAAAAGTTAGTTCGCGATATTTCCTAGTTTTATTAAAAATACATACAATATATTAGATTAATTTACAAAAGGGATTTCACTGATTTTGGTGTTGGTGGCGCTGATGGTCTTCCTTGGATGGTACTTCTGGTATTCTAGTATTTTTGTTTCTGAAGAAGAAAAAAGAATAAGTTTGAGGCTCTCGGGGGAGAGCCACATTCGTGTGTTTCCTACTACGAATTGGATTTTCTAAAAAAAATTTGTTTGTTCCACATCACCGGGTTAGGGCTAGGGATTGTTATATCTCGTTGATTTTATTTACTAACGGTTAGGGGTGGGATTTGATATATGGTTTGTTTTGGGTTAGATTGGGGACTGGTCTTATTTACTGTGCACTAGGATGTCGTTCAGATTTTTATTTTTAGAATATGCAATTATAAGTTTCTGTGTGAACATTTTCGGGTAATTTTCTTGGAGATCAGTATAGTGTCTTCTGATGATTTTGGATGCACTTGCTGCTGTTGCGCTAAATAGAACTACAAAAGGGGCTATTGCGCTAGCCGTATGAATATTCAAAACTAGGGGAGCTGTTGTTTTCAATTTGTCAATCCAGATTGGGGACTGGTCTAATTTACTGTGCACTAGGATGTCGTTCAGATTTTTATTTTTAGAATATGCAATTATAAGTTTCTGTGTGAACATTTTCGGGTAATTTTCTTGGAGATCAGTATAGTGTCTTCTGATGATTTTGGATGCACTTGCTGCTGTTGCGCTAAATAGAACTAAAAAAGGGGCTATTGCGCTAGCCGTATGAATATTCAAAACTAGGGGAGCTGTTGTTTTCAATTTGTCAATCCAGAATTTTTATTTTGTTAGCCTAAACGTTTTAATTTCTTCTGTAGTTTCAAAGTCGCTCTTGGTCTTTTCTATTGGCGTGACAATGAGATCAGAAATGTCATGATGTAGTTGGTTGAAATGAATTGCGACCGGTTTCTCTTTTTTGGTGATTATGTCTGATCGGTGACCGTTAATTCTTTCTCTAATAAATGCATTTTGAGTCTCCCCTACGTATTGCTTGTCACATTGTCTGTATGAAATTAGATAAACTATATTTGAACTACTGCATGAAAGTTGGTCTAATATTGGGAATTGTGTGCCAGATGTTTTGTTATGGAAATGGTCGGATATGTTTAAGATTTTGCATGTTTGACATCTTGGATGGCCACAAGTTTTGGTTGTAACTGCTGATTGCATATTATTTGTTTCTTTGGCGGCAGTCATATCAGTCATATTGTGAAATCAGTACACGCTTGAGCACAAGCTTGATTCGAAAGTATTTAATATTTATTCCATTCATTTACTCACATATCCCGAACATCTAACTTCGTCTCTTTGCTCAGATACATTTTGTCTCACATGCTCTGTTTCATACAACGTATACCACTGTTTCATACTTGTTTTATATGTTTAGTTGCATTACTTCACGTTATCAGTAACATTATGAAATCAGTACACGCTCGAGCACAAGCTTAATTCGAAAGTTGTTTAATAGTTATTCAATTCATTTCATTCCTCACATATCTCGAAGATCTAACTTTGTTCAAACACTTTTTGTCTCACATTCTCTGTTTCATACAACACATACCAAGGTGAACAAACACATTGGCTAAATACTATATAAATATACATTTACCCCCCCCCCTTTTTTTATCTCTACTGTATCTCGTCTTAACAGCTTTCTTATCTTGTCCTATTTGCACACCGTCCACACAAACAGTTTTCCCCTTACCACCACCACTCTTGGATCATGGATAGGTCCCGCACCAGACCCCCTCTCCTTCCAACGCCCACTCATTTACCAATGGAATGGCCACAGCTCCGGAACAGATTCCAACCACCACCAGGCTTTCGCCAACCACAACCAGGCTTTCACCAACCACCACCAGGCTTTCGCCAGCCACCACCACCTGGATTTCACCAACCACCACCTGGATTCCGCTATCAGCGCCAACCAAGTCGACAACCAAACCAGCGCCAACCAACCCAACAACCTAACCAGCGCCAACCAAGTTGACAACCAAACCAGCGCCAACCAACTCAACAACGAAACCAGCGCCAACCAAATCGACAACCAAACCAGCGCCAACCACCTCCAGAGAATGCAGGTATCGTGAAAACCTTCTTCCAGGTCCTGCAATGTCTCCACCATTTGACCATTATGGGGAGCCAGGAGAATGGAACACCCACCAGAAGTTTCACTTGGAAGATCCAAGACCTGAACAAGTTCGTGAAGCCGGCCATGAAGACGCCTACCATAGCCACTACCATTGAGACACTACCATTGAAGTGGGCCAAGGACGTCACCTCATCCTTGTCGACACACTACCGAGCCATGCTAGCGGAGAAACCAGAGTACTTGAAGTCACGTCACTTTACCAAAGATGTTGTACAGGAGTACTCTAGCCACGCCCTAGCATGGGCCAAGACGTCCTTCGGCAAGCGACTTCAGGATAGTGTGAAGACGGAGTTCCATTGCCTCCTGTCCACGGTCTCTAAAACTGTTACACATCCTCCCTCATCACCAATGCACATTACACACAACCTTCTCCGGGACACACCAAAACGAAACACACCCAACAAGAGAAAATTATCCCCTGGAGAAGGCACATGCATTAACATTCCCTCGAAGCGTGCAGCTAGATCAACCAGTTTGCCCCGGGTTGTGTCTGGCTCACCTACTTTATCGGGATCTATATCGCCACTCAACGCGCTTGTCAACTGTCTGTTCCCTAGATCGCCTATCATTCCTAACCCTAGAATCATCACCAGATCTTCCACCAGATGTAGACGTTCACTCAACCTATCACTAAAGAGACCCCACAGCTACAAAGGT